ATACAAGTACTGTATATCGCACCGATAGATTGCTTTGAAGGTATTCGAGGCAATCAATAATTATCGTTTGTAGAGTAATTGGGTTACATGGTAATAACCTAGTAACAAATTCAACAACATCATGACGAACGTATTAGAGTGGGTCGACGTAGATTGCTTATTTTCAGCTATTCCAGGCACTCACTATTATAAATGTTGTAGAGATAGTTGATTAGAATATAGTAATTTGAAGAATATTAAATCGCTGCTGCCTGTATCACTTTAGTATGTATCGCCTAGATAGATTATTTGAAGATACCGTAGACAATCAAAGTTAGTAGAAACGATTAATTTACACTATGAAATCTTAAGAATGTTTAATACGATATCAATTCTTGCCTACCAATGCTAAATTTTACCTTATGGAAACGATATTATCATCGTTAATTTTCTTGCACTTAAACTGTAAAAGAAACTAATTTAATAACATCATACTACTATACATGTAAGCAGTAAAATGATACCTGTAGAGTATTTGTTATTAAATTAGTGTGCGAGTACTAAATCTTGTAGTATCAGTTCAAAGGTTATTTTCTACTATCGATATTCATCTGTTACACAAATTACGGCTAACAATAATACTACAAATATCATGGTATACGAAATCTCTCATGGAAGAGTAGAAAAGTATAAGAATCAATACACAAAATTGACCTATATTTCTAACTCTACAAAAATTTTGTGGATATCCTTATATTTTTATAGGTACCAAGTCGAGACGATTATATTACTATGGGGCCTTGGATTGGTGTAATACGTGATGTTAAGCAACGTTTAATTTTACGTTTAAAGAATGGATCAAAGTAAGTCACTTTTTTATCTCAACAATATTATAATGAAGCCTTTACTGCAATAATCCCTTCTAGCTAGTGTATACAGATAGTGCTTTAAAGCTGAAACTATCACCATAATCACAAATGCGTTAACATACAATATTAGGTATTAATCTGATCTCTTTCATAGCCGTGAACAAAAATTATGTATGCTTTGCAATCGTAAGCAGCAATATAGGATAGGTGCTGCCCTGTGCAAATCACTATCCTCCACACGTTTTATATAATCTTTAACACACCATGAGTAATGCAGTTAGTAGCATCCTAAAAACAGATTTTCAATCTTCAGTTTTCTTATTACATGTGCTTCAGCATTGTCTTTGATTTCACTTAATAATAGCATAATCACGTCATACCTCTGTCATATTTCGTAATCTTATGCTAGAGATAGCTCTCAATAAACGAATGATAACTAAGATTATATCTTATTTATAATGCATTTATAACAAATGAGAAATTCAATCAATCTATTTAATTTACGCTGGTATTGTAATCGATTGCTGACTACACCTTACAGTATTGATCTCGTAAATATCCTTATACGATCGGCTCCTATACATTTTTATGAAATCCATTAAGTTACTTATACATTATAACTACAGATGTCGAATGGAATGGCATCTTGCTTTTCAAATGCGTGATGCCATGTTGGATGAAAGGACACGTTTCGCTGCTGAAGATTTTTACCCAGGACAAAAAGTGGAAGGTTCGGTCAAGTTATTCCGTCAAGCAATTTGGTTAACAAAGCCTCGGCCTTCGTTTAGTCGGCGTATGACAACAGTCAGAGCTACTGTTGAAAAAGTTATTTTAACTGGTGTTCGTGTCAAGTGGATTATATGCGGTTTTTCAGCATATGGTCCATCTCAGGAAAGTGTTGATCCTCCTCCAGAACTTGTACCAGAACAATCACTCCATAAGTATATTCAAATATCATAAGATATATCGTACTGTTAATTAATTAATGCTTTTATCATGGATAGCTATTTCTTAAGTTATCCTTTTAAATAATGATTTCAGATTAACAACCTTTTGGAGCATACGACAAAACCAAATTCAGTTAGGTGATAAAGTCCTATATACTTTTCATGCCGCTACCGACAAATTATTAGAAGTTAAAAAGGCGACTGTACAAGGAGGCAGTAACACAACACAGCAACAAGTTGATACCAGTCAAGCAGCTGAGACTAGCAGTGAAGTTAGCGGTGTCATAACTGCAACTGATTCAGAAAGCTTAATGGCATGCAATTCTCATATTTTAAGCTATAATGATAACGTTGCTACTAGTTTACCTGCAACGGTAGTATCTGATAGTAATGTACCATTAAGTGATTCATGTAGTGATAAAAAATTAGATAAAGAAGAAGATAACAAAGCTGGAGATGAAGGAGAAGAAGTGGAAATGTTGGAAGAATCAGAAGAAGATAACGATAGCATTAATGATGACAACCATGAAGACGAAAAAATTCATGATCACGATAATACAAGCAATAATTTCGGCTATTTTGATCAGAACGACGATGAACATGATATAAAATCTGATTTGTTTAAAACTGATCAAGTTAAAGGGCATAGTAGCAACGCTATCAGTTCCCAGGTTACACCAGAATTATACAGTGAAGAGGCTACTGCAGCAATAGCAGTAGATACAGTAGCTAAACCGCCACATTTAGCACAACGGTTAATTTCTAATCTAAGTATGATGTCAACTAAATCATCCACCAGACCAAATACTACCAGTGGATCGGCATTTGACTCTTCTGATAGTGGCCATAGCAACAATAAAGTTTATCGTCAAAATAAACCTCGGACTAGTTCGCTTTCACATCGACGCAATAAGAGACGTTATCGTAGGAAAAGAAGTGAGCCTGTTAGTGCTGTCCCAACAGCTAGACCTCAAATGACCCTCGCGTGCGAAATTATGAAAACAGAAACAGAAGCTGATATCCGATGGCAGGTAACACCACGTCTTACAAGCAATATAAAAAAACAAAGCCCATATTCCCATATTTTCTATTTTGCAACCAATTGAGACGTCTACATTCATATTTAATCGTTAATGTAGGACGGAAATGAAGAATTTGATGTCTCATCAGTAAAATTATTGACTAAGGGACATCTAGATGAATTGGAATTTTTTCCAGGAGAATTTGTTATCGATAAGAGAGGTATTGAAAACATCATTCTTAATTAGCGATTAATATTTCTATGATTAATGCCATATTCAAATTTTCAATACGTCGTTGAGAAATGGTTACTATGAAAATGAATTTAATTTCCTATCATCTCCTTTCTTGTTTGTTATAGAATTGTTCTCAGTTGATGGAATGTACGGAGTAGTATTATTTTATGACCATGAAGGTAGAACTTGCCATGTTCAATGGGTCAAGAATAGTGAAAGTGACAACAGGACAAGGTTAGCAAAAACACACTTTTACCTATAGATGCTTACAAATGTTCACAGCAATGTTACTTTTTTAGTTGTCTGATATTGGATGAAGTAGAACAAGACGTTAGCGTTTATGATCTCAAACCACATCCAGATTATTCATTTTCTATCGGCTGCTTGGTAGTAAAGATAACACAATGTACAGTGAGTATGGTTCTAAATGTAAAATTGCTACTACAGTAGCTTGTGTTTAAAATATACTTACTTAGTATGGATTGCAATGCTGTTAAATCTAAGTAGGATTGCTTTCAATTCTGATAGTATTGTAGTTCTAGCCGGGACAGATCAGCAACCAATAGTCAAGTTTATCTAGGCCAGGTAAGAATAAAATGATGATCAATGGTCGCCTTAGTATTCACAAATAGACCTTTTGTATTTATCCACTAACTCTATTGCAATCGTTGCAGCGGTATTATTAGCAGATGATTTTATGAATCTTGGTCATCATATAAAATCTATTAGATGTTTTAAAAATATTTTTATTTCTATTAATAATATTTAAGATTTGTTATTACTATCCTCTTCAATGCTAAATAACACCTATCAGTTTGATAGATTCGCCAGAAAATTATTCCTGATTGCAATTATAAATTCCAATTTAGGTTATCAATCTGGATATTGACGGCAGTATTACCGTTCGTTGGACTGATGGTTCAACTACAAAATCGAAGCCTCATTCCTTATTGAAAATTGATGACTTAAGCGATGTAAGTCGTACACTGCTATATATCATGATTTTTATTCAATTGTATTCTAAACAAAAGGGTAATTAAGCTATTGCTTAAATAATACTAGGATGATTATAGCGACGGTTCTGAAGAAATGATAGAACCTATATCTGACGTTGAAGAAGCAAAGATCTACTCAGATAGCGAATGGGAGACTGAGAATAGTACATCAACATCAAATGATAGGTATTACTTCGATACATCGATATCAAAACTGTTAAATAACCTACTTAACGATAACAACGACATTAATATTTTATTTACTTGCAGTGATAGTAGTTTCGAAATTGTAAAGATGGAAGCAGTCGAAGAGTGTAAAAACACTGTAATGGCGAATGAATTAGTTGACGACAAAGAAGAACGCAAGATTACTGATGGTGAAGATCAAAAGGTGATGCAGGATTCTACAACCGAAAAATCAATGAATACAAATTGCGATGCGTCTAATGTAGCTGATGAAGAAGAACCAATGGTACAGGCTTTAACAATAGCTGATATTGCTAATGATACGTTATAGAAAATGTAGTTATAACTAAGGAAAGTTTATCTGTTACTCAGGAAATTACAAAAAATATAGAAGAAGGAGATGCTTTTGTGGAAATTAGCCATTCTGAACTAAGTAGATCAACAGGTATTGCTTTTCGACTATTACAGTATTAAATCAACATTACAAATTGACTATCTATAATAATTTAATTCTTGATAATAATGACTTTTGGCAGATAATTTCAAAATGTTAGAGTCTGTTCCGGAAGGCCATAAATTTAAACATATCCAATCTTTCCCGCCGGCTGAGATGCGAAAATTTGTTGTTCGATTTCAAAAAGAGGTTTGAGTCTAGAAAATTAAAAGAAATGAATCTTATATTTTGATGGTAGAAAAATTTTAATGACTGTATGATTAATATAACTGAAATAACACCTTTGTCTCTCAAAGATTGCTTTATTAAAGTCTTCACTACCTAGTGACATTCTTGTGCGTGCATATGAAGATAGAATGGTAAGACTAATTATATAATAATTCGATATTATACTCTATGAAGGAAGTGTACAACTTGCTATTAAATCTTTATGATTTTTAATGCTAGGATGTCATGAGCATTTTGATCTACGGTCCAGAAGGAACGCCATATGAAAATACATTTTTCGCATTCGACGTCCATTTTCCGCGTGATTACCCCAAATCTCCCCCAATATTTCATTACACAACGTATAGTAATACACAACTTAATCCTAATTTATATCAAGATGGTAAAGTTTGTGTCAGTTTGCTTGGAACTTGGGTCGGAAAGGTAGGTAATATTAAAACAGTATCATAGACATTCAAGCATAAAAATATTCGAAATTTTCATATTGTTGACATAGGGTACAGAAGTTTGGACTGATAAATCAAATATGCTCCAAGCTCTGCTGTCTATACAAGGTAAACTTTTGAATGATACTCTTGCTAATTGATTTAGGTCGATGTTATTGTTATCACATCTATATTAGAATCAGTTCATCATTTAAACACATAATATTGAGGCATTACGTAAAAATCGACTTTTTTTGCTAGCCTTGATCTTGTGTAGAGAGCCATATTTTAATGAAGCTGGCTATACAAAGCAGCAGGGGACAAACCAAGGCAAAGAGAATAGTCGCCTATATAATGAAATGGTGATTCTGAAAGCGGCTGAGGTTAGATATAAAGCACTTGTAGTTACATGCTATGATTGTAAGATAAAGTTAGTTTAACTATTAGTCTGACTTACTGTTTCATCAGAGATAGGTTCTACTATAATTTTTAAGTTCATCGTGCATGTGCTACCATGTTGTATTAATTTAGTAATAACTTTGGAACACAGATCGATATTTTGGTAGCTGATAGCGAAATTCTATTGCATTGCTAGCTGCATTACAGTGATTTCTCATTTGCAAAATATTGTTGGATACTATTTAAACAATAATTATAATACATGCACTAGTTACTACTGGCTTATCCGAAAGTAGTGGCAAAAAGTATTATTATATGCAATATTTGGCCCTATTGATACTTACTCGAAATTTTAGACTAACAGTGTTTTAATGATAAACTTTGGTTATCTTAGACTATTACTACCTTGCTACGTAATCCTCCTGAAGTATTTAAAGAAGAAATCACGTCATTCTATAGAGTGAACGCTAGAAGGTCTAGTTAGCTGCATATAATAACAATAATAATATACAAGTTTACTAAATGGATTTTTAGCTTACAGAGAAATTTTTTTTGTTGCAGAATTATTGAGCGATTAGAAATACTCTTGAAACCATCTTCTGACCGACCATCTAACACTAGTCAAGATGATAACGACACAAGTGCTGATCCAGCCGCATCCATAGAATGGTCACCTGATTTTCCACTTTTACCGTTATCCAGGGGGTTCATTATGACATTATCGAGAGTAGTAGAAAATATCAAGAGAACGTTCAATAATCTTAAATTATTATAAAGGATTACAGCTGTACAATGAAATTTGTGATTGTTAAATCAAAATTGAGTGATTTTCCAAAGTTTTCTTCAATTTCTGTAACCAGAAAGTGTAATGATAATTTAAAACTATTTATACACGTGTACTGTAGTTTGTATTTATGCAAGGTTTAAATTTTATGTTAAGATATTTAATTGAAGTCTCTTATTATAATATTTTTCGGACAATCTGCAATTCATGAGATCTTATTATCTATATTTATTTTTGGTTAGTGATGTTTGTTTCGTTATCTGTTATCTTAACATCTTAAGCTTAATTCTGAACAATTAATTTTATTACAATTGGATAGTTAAGGTAGCTATTTTTAGATTCGTACATTTATTACGTGAACATCGGTAGTCGACATTATGTCTAGGTATCAGAATACGAGTATATGGTCGTATATAGATTTACGTATGCTCTTGTTAGCATTCATTTTATTTACTATTAGCTGTTTACTTTACGCAAGGCAAACGACATGATAAGACGTTACTCACTTTATTTATTGCTTATACTCGTATAATTAATTAACTGAACATCAATCAGTTAATATCATAATTAATGGTTAACTTTATGAAGTTCCACATTACTGACTCGACTATCATACAAGAAGTCAGTTAGGGTAATCCAATAATACTATCGAATGATAACCTCTTGATTACGGTTTACTGTATTACAATATTATTAGAATTCTTATTCATAATCACTTCCAGTTTATTCTGTTCGTAATAAGGTTTTATTATACCAAAAATGTGACCTAGGTGTAACCTATTGCAATATTACGTTAGAGAAATAAATTTAGCATTAAAGTTTTAGAATTGCATCTAATCTTCTTGATAGAGTCCTGTAAGTAATTATAGGCATACTAGGATATCGCTATTACGCAGAATTCTATAGTGTTAGAAAGCTGAACAGTAATAATTATATATATTTAATTAAAGATTATAGAACTTGATATGAGTCGTAGTTCTATCAATTAGTTTTTGACCTCTCTATCTTTATTCGAGCTATCGTATGTACTAATATTATCCTCAAATTTCTACTTTAATAGTAATTTGCTGAAGAATAATGATTAACACGATATGCAAAAGATAGTAATTCAAAAGTGCACTGATGATAGCCTTTATTTCAGTCAACGACTCTTATACTGTATCTATATAAGAAACAAGGGGATTCATAGTTTTTAAATTAATTTTGAATGGAGCCATTCAGTTAGAATGTCATTTTACAGGTTTACTATCAAGTTTACTATTAAATGTAACCATAAAAATTTCATTTTTTAATCAATTCAGATTCTTGCAAAGTAAGCGTATTAATGGTTATTACAACGAAATACATGGAATTTAATTACTAGAATTCTAAAAGTTAGGAAAAGTAGCAATTTACCACAATAGTCACAGCTAGCTATTTAATGCTGATAGTATAACGATGAACATAAATTTTATCAAAAAATTTTCCGTCATATGAGAATATTCATTACTCTATGTAGCATCCCTCAATTGATGACAGAATGCATCAAGAATATGCGTAACATAATTTAATAGTGATAGAAGAGCAGAAAAAAGCATAAAATCCGTTATTCTGCAACTGGAGAATTCAATTAATACGAGCTATACACACACTTATATCGTAAAACTTTCTATGTGTAGTTAATGAAAAGCCAGTAATGACTATGCATACATAATATAGCTCATGTAACTGTATTTCATACAACATACAAATGACTATAGAACAGTTTGATAACATATCACGTTAATCATATAATATTATGTAACAATGAAAATCTAGGTAACGGCTGTAGTAAGAAAATCAATTTAACGATTATTGAAGATACTCGTATATTACTTTTTTATAGTAAGTGGGTGATAAATGGATTAATCTCAGAATTAAAAGAGCACAGTTTGTCCAATTTTGAATTCCCAAGTCTAGCCAAGCCAGAATTTTTCGTTGATTGATACTGAAGCAATAACTGTATTAACCAGACCTTATAAAGTATTGTCGATAGCCATTTCCAAGAACTGAAAAAAAGTCGAAATTTTACACCGATTTGAGAGCAATGATCAGTAAATGCCATTAATTAGTTAAGAAGTCAAAGCATAAGCCTAATTACAATTGCGGGAGGCACTAAATCCAAATATTTACATAATACAGAACTGCATACGAGTACATGTAAAGTATACCTTAAATATTATACTATTTGAGTTTAAAGTTTACCCCTAAAGAGTATCCTTAATTATGAAATATACTGCATTTATAAATTGACTTCAACTTGCTTCAAAAAGTAAAACAGTAAATCTTCTTTTAGTCTGACTTAGAATCTAATCGAGATAGGCTTTGCTAGTGATTTCGTTTACTAAAGCGTCTTTTCTTGTACCGAGATATGGTGTGACTACGCGAAGACTGCATGTATTTTACGGAAACATGGTTAATTCGTACTGTATCTTATTTTTGAGGTAGATAAACTGCATACTGAATGAATTACAACGGTTGAGTCATAATATACATATTCGCCTAAAATAATCTCCTGAAATTATTACAGATTTAACATAAGATCTATGTATGTAGGAAACGCTTAGCCAAAATCCCAGTACTAAATGATTTTTAAATTATTGATACCTCTGGATAAGAAACACGAACGACGCCTGATTGAGCGGCATCTTTCTTGCGAAATTTATCCGTTAAAGATTTTAGCATTACGCAACATTGAATAAAGTCGTCAAATTTCATGGTTCTAACATCTCCACGGTCAAATACTCGAACGCATAAGTTGCAGAAGGTGGTTGATCTATAATTACAACAGGATGTGAAAAATGATTGTGGTTATCTGCTGGTCAGCCGCCTATGTTCATATTTTAGTGGCTTAGGACATCATAGTGAACTTACAAACGGTAACCAAATGTGTTAAATGCTTGCTGTAGTTCATTAGCATCAATATTTCCGGATCTGTCTTTGTCGAATCTACAATCAAGAATCAATATTAACATCACGTATTCAAAATAAGGAATAAAAGAAGAATAGTCCATTTTAGTGATATAATCCTCAGCGCCGCGTCGCATTGTTTACTTACTGATTAAAACAATTTTGCCATTGCTTGACATATTCCAGTAACGATTCAAATTCATGAACATCAATGGTACCATTCCTGAATTATGGTAATATCATTTTAATCATTGAATTAACTACGCGTCTATTAGACATTCGACATAAACTGTTGTTGTGAGGTCTTTACATAAACTAAGATTCATTTTTCCTTGCAAATGATTTTAGAATTTTTAAGCTGGAGCAATCATAGCAGACTCACTTGTTACTATCGAACATTCCAATTAAAAGACGGCAGGTTTCTTCGTTAAATGTTGTCCAATTGTTGTTAACCAAGGCTTGCCTTAGCTCCGTCACTGAAATGTGGCCCGATTTACTTACGTCCACAGTCTATATACAATTTTATATAATAATCGTTTAGGAGAAACATTCCTTGATATATAAAAACAAGTGTTGAAAATGTTGTCTATTACTGTATTCAATTACTCTCTTATCAGTTACCTGGAACCATTGCCATACATGGGGTTTAACACCCGGTGGAGGTTGAGCAACACTAGATGTGGGGGGATACTGCCCACCTGGAGTTTGTCCGTAAGTCGGAGGTGGTGCTTGTTGACCGTAATTCGGCTGTTGTTGATTATGCATATGTGCTTGTTGAGCATAACCTTGCGGCTGTTGAGCATATCCCTGTTGTGGTTGATTATATCCTTGATATTGTTGGCCATAACCTTGAGGTTGCTGCCCATAGCCCTGCTGCGGTTGAGAATATCCTGGTTGCTGTTGGTTATAACCTGGATTATATTGCTGGCCATAATTTTGCTACGATTGATGGAGAAAAAATAAGTTGTTTAAAATATCTAAAACACAAAGTCCCTTTCACTGTCAAAACTATCGTGATGATTACTGAGTGTAGTGTATTTAGTTTCACTGTAGTTTTTAGACTTGTTCGTAAATATAGACATTTTGTTATGTTCCGAATATAGATACCTCTACAGTCTATTTCAACTATGCTCAAATATAGCTTGTCATGTTTAGTTATTCATAGCACCTACAGTCTTCGCTATTTTCTACAATCATTTACTATTATATAGCCAGTTTATAGTATATAATGTATCTAATTCTACAATACTGTTCTCTGTACGTGTTCTCTCTTTAAAACTATAAATACTGATGATTTCTGCCTCAGATTTGTTCAGTTGCACTATTCGTAGTAGTAGTACTTCCTCACGTTACTTCACGACAGCTTACACGCTGATCTACCGTTAACTACCGCCTTGTACCTCCATTATTATCTACAATAAAGTATTCACCTTTATTAAAATCCTTAAAATCCTTTGCATATTTTCTGTGAATGGCTACTAAGTCCGCAGCCGCTAATTCTTCGAACCCTCCATCACACTGAGATTGACTATGTAGTCTACTCTTAAATATTTTTGTCCATTTTATTAAGAGGTGTAAATTGAGTATGCTATTAACTACGATACGATTCTATTCATGTATAATCCATTGTATCTACTTTAGGATTCAAATTTGCTAATGATTTTTCTAGCATATAGAACAATTACCGTGTAGGTGTACTGCAATCTCTGTCTAGTTCTATTACTCTATTTAGCTATGGAATGGATTTGTACTCAGTACTGTAGTAACTAATGAGAGCAATGAATAATTTGAGGTAATAGGCCGAGGACCAACTATGATAAAATTAACAAATGATGAAATCTGTATCCTTTATAAACGAATAACGGATCTCTTCTAATGATGAAATAGATTAGCATACATTTGTATTTGTGTCTAGTTTAGTGCGGTTATCTGTAGGTCATTTATTGGACAACATCAACATTGAAAATTACGAAATCAGTGCAACAGCATCGCTACATTTCCATTCTATATCGTCCGATCATGCGATCTTCTCAAGAAAGAGAGTTTTGTATACAATAACGAAGCGGTAGATACTTAGTAAGTCTTATCATCAACGCTGCACGTAGAGATGTGATTGATTGACTCAATAGCATGCCGTAGATGGGCAAACTAAGGACATCAAGTCTGTGAGTATTCCGAGATGAAATGGATAAACCCAAATAACATACAGTATGTATGTAAAATGAATATTAATTCAGTCTTTAACTGAAGTATCGATCAGACCAACGATAGAGTTCAGATAGCAATCTACAATCGTAACAGTCCTACCATTTGTTAATATAGCCATCATCTGGACACGTAGATAGCATGTATTATGAATCTGTCTTTAGCAACTGGCAAGTACTGTAGTGAACACTAGAATAAAGTGAAGAAGTAGGTGTATTTGAATAATTGGTAAAATCTACTCTAACTGACCACAGCTAAAATATACAAGTTATATGTTATTGTAGCAATGATCAACTGCTAGAAGCATTGCATCCCTAATCGATTTCCTTGACATTTATCCAAATCGATCGAGATGTGACTCCTTCGTCTACAGTAAACGTATACAGTAAAGATGGTAGAAAAATCTAATGTTATCAGTTAGTAGAGCATAGTATGATGATTAACCTTCGTGAACTGAATGATTGTATAATTGGTGTATACTTGCAGTCTAGCATTGTAGATATGCGAACGAATGGATGAGAAGAATCTGCTTGCTTTTATTTTAGACTGTTAAGCAGTCAGGAAAATGAACTTGTCGGATTTGTTCCAAGTCTTATTTTACATAAGAAAAGGCCATAAAAATTCTACTGACACATTCTATAGTTAAGATATTAACTTACTTGATACGCTGATGGCCGTGGATTATTATTCCAAGACATTGCTGCTGTAGAATAGATAGTTTTCGGTAGCAATTATAGGCAGAATCAAGATGTCGAAGGTGGAAGAGGCCGAGAGAAATTAGAATTACCACGGCGACCACCGTCTAGGTGAGGCAAATGGTACGTACATAGCTAATGTCACCGATGGCAATGGACTAGTCATTGTAGCCAATACGGTATGTACTGTAGATCATCGCTAAAAGTAGTATCTACTATAGACGATCTACAATACAGTGCTACAGTAGGAAATAAATACCCCGGGGTGGGGTGACATGATTTTTGTAAGTACTCTACACTATACTGTACAGTATAGGAGGATTGGTCGTGTGTGTGTACTGTAACTACCCCGGTCTTCTCCTTCTTACTTTTTTAGTGTAGTCCCTCGTACTAGCCTCTACATTACTGGCAACTGTATGGAAAAGGGAGCGAGGCAGCACCTGTCCCTGTACTGTACTGAGCCCTCGTAGCTGCCCCGCCTCTCCCTACCCCACCCATCATGTCCGCAACATCATCATGGATGAGGAAATTGATATTATAATTAATTGCTGTATTTACTGTATAATTATTAATTCATTCACTGTAAGCAACTAATTTATTCTTTTTGAGTTGATAGTTGGCTTGATATTAACAGTACAGTGTAGTACTGTCAAGATTCGATCGATTTTTATACGTCTATGATAGGAAAACATGTCCCAAATTAGCTACAAGCTGTAATACTATCGAGGACTAGATTGTAGTCAACGTAGCTCTCCATCGCTCCACAGGTTAGCTAGTTAGCTCGACGTCTACTTTTATTGATCAGGCAAATTGGCTCGGTAGTCCATTTATTGACATAAATAGATGTTCTTCAATAGAGTATTGGATAACTACCAATAAGAAAAGGGTAATATAGGGCGTTGCTTTCAACAAAGCAAGTTGCCTACCTAATAAACAACTGTTATGCAAATCTTGGTGATGAAAAATCAAAGCAGTATCTTCCTCTGTATAGGATGCTCTTTCAATTATTTTGTGCATTCTGCATCTTTGGGGATTATCTATGAATTATGCATGATAGCCTGATCGGGTTTTAGCTGTGGCATCGACGTATCTTGCTACAGCGAAAGCCCCAATCCCGACTGCTATGCATCATAGCCTGCTAAAGCTCGAAATAAGAGTACCTATACTGTGCTTACAAATATAGTACAATCAAGGGGATGAATGAATTTAGAGATGGTAAATTCAGGGATTCAAGGTTGGAAGGAGTGCCTTACGATATACTGTATCATGAACATGATTGTATATTTAAAGATCAGTACCATGATAAAGCTGAGCCCTATCCATGATGGCAATATGATGATACTTTTTCAACTGTAAAGCTCCATCTAATACAGTAAGTACTTCACCTATTTCGATGGATAGATATTGTTAAAACAGAGTATTTGACCTCTATCAATAAATAGAAGGGTAATATTAGACAACAACAGCCGTGTGGATCCCTCCATGGGTCTTACTATAGGATGCTGATTTCAAGAAATAGTGTTATAAAATGACGACAAAATGGCGTCAAAAAGTGATTGCATATATGGCCATACTATCTACTCTATACTGCGCCGTAAGCCTGATCAGATCCATACTGTAGTACTATAGAATAAAAGACTAGCCGGTCTCCTCTTGACAGGGTGCAGCTAGGCGTTGCCTCGGACAGACAGTCTTGTTGGAGATTGGTTTATGGCTGAAACATGAGTGTAGTATATAGAGCACTGTATGTTATCGGATTGGTAAGCTTTACAACTGCTAGCCATCCAGGGTCTAGGACGGAGGCCTGCATTCAAGGTTAAAATGCGCACGCGTATTGGCTAGCTCGTCAGCTCTACCTAGGCAACATGGCAAGCATGGAAAGCGATCGCGTAAACGTAGAGGAAGAAACTCCGATTACTTTTCAATCTCTTGTAAGTTATAGGATGAGGCATTGATTTTCCTATCTTGCCCTATCTCATGTGCATTATAAATAACGAAGAAACTGCTTGACAAAGCCATCATCGTAGCTAGATTCTATGGTGTTGGTGTCAAGGCTGCCTAAACGATATTTTTGCTGTTCATTGATAGGGATTAATGGAGCCTTTATGTCAAGCATGCGATCGGTTACAATGGAAGCAACCCACTAAAATTCAATGTGAAGCTATCCCAGTTGCGTTAACAGGTAAGCTAATGGTTACGTTAACACTTACTGTACATTCTGTAGTCCATTACTTTAACCTTTGAATAGAATCGAATAGATCGATTAGAGAGAACAAGGCATCATCTTCATACAATTTGAACAAACTGTGCAAGCTTGCATGGACGTCGTACAACACTGTAGTGTAGTAGATTGTGCAATGCAATGTTGCCAAGAGGTATTTTAGCCGTTGTTAAGCTTAACAACTGTGGTAATTCAACTTGAATTTACTGTAAACATTTTATACGTATGCCAAATGGCGATGATATAGTTACACCGGTATACACAATGCATCTAGATATCCCTAGTCGACATGGATTGATAACTGCTGTCATAAAGTCATTCATCCATGTGTGATTGGACGTGTTTGCAAGAGATGTTTTCACCTTGCATTACCAGTCTTTTGAACTTGAAATTCAACATCAACAAGATATACACGTACATATGCTGTTTACTAAAGGACTAATGATATATTTAGACCTATTTATACGTATATATGCAATATGTGAAGACGCCCAGGCTGCATGGACTGATGACTGTTGTGATGATGCAGTCTTACAAGAGGTGTTGAAATCTTGTAATTGCGATGGTTCAACTTCATTTCGTGCAAATAGTTGCAGCCAAATTGCTGATAATAGACTACATTTAATAAATACTGATATCAATGATAAACGTCAGCGCATAATCTGCATGCATTGATGGTTGTTGTGATAAGTTAACTCATATGACAGTTCATGGATTAATAACTGTTGTGATGAGTTAATTCATCAAGGATATCTGATTTTACCTGACTGTATAACGTACAGTATTTGCAAGGAAGGTTTAGCTTGCACTACCGATGATTTCAATTTCAATTCAATATGGATACATACGTCCAGTCGACTAATGATATACAGTATGCCAGTATGAACAGGTATCCCGGTATATAGACAGTGTATATGAACACCTAGACATAGATTATAATTTATTTATCAATTTGACATCAAGGTAAAGACATCATTGGCTTAGCTGAGACTGGCTCTGGTAAAACTGCCGCTTTTGTCTTACCCATTCTACAAGCATTATTAGACAAACCTCAGCGTTTATTTGCCTTAATTCTCACTCCTACAAGGTAATCTCTTATAACCTTGATCATTTTCCACTATTGTATCATAATGTATTCCTGTCATTATGGTATGCAGATATTGTACGTAATACATTAACGAAAGGTGCTATTCGCTTAACTTGTAGAGAATTAGCTTTTCAGATAAGCGAACAAATTGAAGCGTTAGGCTCATCGATTGGAGTCCAGTGTGGTAAAGGCCAATATTGCAATTCTTTTAATTTTAATTAGCAGACGAGGAAAAACTTATTGACTGCAATGTTACTGTTATCTCTCACTGTCAGCTGTCATAATTGGTGGTATCGATATGATGACACAATCAATCATGCTAGCTAAAAAACCACATATCATTATCGGTACTTCGTCAATTTAATAATTTACAATATCGTAAAGTTTTTTTAACGCTTAATTATAAAATAAACAGGATACCGGTAGAATGACTATCATTTCAATTTTTAGGAACTCCCGGTAGGCTAGCGGATCACTTAGCCAACACCAAAGGCTTTAGTTTACGACCATTGAAATATTTGGTAAGTCATAATTATAACATAACTATCGTGCATTAGAATAGCTTCGATTAGCAAGTTTTTCTAGATCTACTTCATATTATAGTATGTAAATAACTTGATTATAAAGTCTACCTTTGTTCTTTACATACCCGTATTTGCTACGGTATTGTTATCAACTGCAAACATTTTTATTGAAATAGGTGATGGATGAAGCAGATCGTATTTTGAATATGGACTTTGAAGCTGAAGTAAGTTGCTTTATCGTACACATAGTACTTTAACGTATCGTATAACCACCACTTTTAATTGTCTAGGTCGATAAAATATTGAGCGTGTTACCTAAAGAACGAAGAACATATTTATTTTCCGCTACCATGACCAAAAAGGTAGATCAATAATTATAGCATACATACCGTACATTGGTACACCATTACAGATCGAAAAAAAATTGCAACTCAATTATACTTCTTAGGTAAAAAAATTACAAAGAGCGTCTGTCCAAGATCCAGTCAAGATAGAAGTTTCAACCAAGTAGGATCTATCTATGGCAGGCATTTTCGCTTTATATTAATTAATTAGTAACACAATAACATGAAACTATTTCATTTTACAGATACACTACGGTAGAAAAGTTACAGCAAACTTATATCTTCGTTCCGGCTAAATACAAGGTTTGATTACATACTGTGTAACACGTATCTTTGAATAGTTTTTGAATTATGCACCTTTCTAGAGGATTAAATGGTACAATTAATTTTTAGGACTGTTACCTGGTTAGCATCCTAAACGAATTGGCTGGAAACTCTTTTATGGTATTTTGTGCCACTTGTATCAACACACAGCGGTGAGAAGTGATTCAAATGATATTATCGATTTTACATTGTTGGATTACATTTACATGCAACCATGATCCACAAATACGTAATACGTGTATTTTGATCTCTCAACTCCATAGCATTGGTCTCATGCTTCGCAATTTAGGCTTTAATGCAATCCCTTTACATGGTCAAATGTCTCAGGTAGTGTATTGAAAGGTTATTCACTGTCAGTAAGTAGGATGTACATTATAAACACTATGGTTCATTTATACGCGCACAATAGAGCAAAAGACTTGGGGCCTTACATAAATTTAAGTCAAAGGAGAGCTCTATCTTGGTAGCAACTGATGTTGCAAGTCGGTAAGTATGCCATTTTTATAAATAACTACCATTTTATGATGCCTATACTACCTATGCAAGTCGTTACATATTAGATATAAAATTAATTAGTCATCTTCTACTCGTTTCTTTATTTACTTTAAATGTATATGTTGTTTTAGTTAATAGACTGGCAAATAAATCATAATCTTATTCATATTAAACTAACATATGTGCATTTCTATAATAGCGGATTAGACATCCCACATGTAGATATTGTAATTAATTTCGATGCCCCATCACACTCAAAGGTAAGCTCATAAGTACCGCATAAATTTAACTTTTCTGTTACCTGTGCATAAAACTGGAAAATGTTATATAACCCTTAGTTGAAACTATATGCACTGTGTTTTAACGTCCAAGTGTTTTATTTCATTTCAGGATTATATTCATCGAGTTGGTAGAACCGCTAGAGCTGGAAGATCTGGAAGATCAATTATTTTCGTAACGCAGTAAGATACATTACAATTAATTATTTTTATGCTTGAGCACGATTTTAATTTTCGTATCGCTGTTCAATGCAGATATGATGTAGAATTATTTCAAAGGATCGAACAGCTAATTGCTAAAAAGTTACCGGAATATCCGACAGTTGAGGAAGAAGTTATGTTGCTAATGGAACGCGTTGCAGAAGCACAAAGATACGCTAAAATGGTAATTAATCCAGTTAACTTATTGAACAAACGCCTCGATATCATTTAACTGAACGTTCTACAATACAGGAGTTGCAGGAAACTATGAATAAAAAGAGAAGGCCACTAGATGATGAAGAAGAAGGCGCTGCAACATATCAACTGGCGAAGAAAGTCAAACTAAAAGGAGCTAGATTTAAAAAGCGCTCGAAATAATGTTTATAAAGTAACAAGTTTCCTTTTGAACGATTTTAAAGGGTTGCATCTGCACAGCTACAGATGTATTGTCACCATTTTTCTGACTATGATACCAAGTTAGGGCTATTGGTTAATAAAGAATTACTTTGGATTTTATAAAAATCATTCAAAAGTATTGCCACATTATTCTAGAATCTTATATTAGCATTACAGAAAATTTTTATTTCCATCTATTTCTACGGAAATTGAAAACTTGAAATGAAATATTACACGACATTTTGACCTAGATGCTCGACCTAGTCGTAAATTCACAATTTGGCTAATAAACTACGAGTAAACTACGTATTGCACAATTTCAAAACGTAGGTCAGAAAGCGGTCATAAGGTAGAATACCTACAAAAAATGACATGACATAAATAATGCAGCATTGCTCTCAATCTTATATAACATAGATATAAATAATTATTACTGGCGTAACAGAAGCAACATTTGAAACAAGCGATAATAATATAATTTGACAGTTGAAGTCCAAGTAGCCCATACATACTATAGCCGACGCTAGCAATTGCAACTACCGTTAGAAATTATCGGTTGATATTATAAAGGTACCTCAATTTACTTTCGAAACTTACATCATTGGTAGAATGGCATAAAATTGAGTTAATTAAACAACGTTTAAAATACAGTACTATATAGCAATGGTAAGGAGAAAGTTTTATGATAGCAACGTTTGTCAATTTCAGCCTTAAGGTTAAAACAACTACATTATAAATTGACCGATTATACCATTCTTATGTAACGATATTCTTTCCTTTGTCTTTTAACTAACCTTACAGATGTTACTAAACCGGCTATAGCAATTATTTTTCAATTTACTTCTCAATGTAAAATAGCAAGTACTTGCACTTGCTGGTGTTAAATTGCAAACCATCGGCAAGGGTAAAGGCTCTACAGTGTCTACAAATTTCCAACGGGTCTTTGAAGACTGCATGACACTGTAGTCCTCAATAAAATAGATGTCATAGCCAATGACTGCATCATAATTATTGCTACATTTGGGAAGGGTCCACATCAATTTTATTAGATCTTGTGATTTTATCGACTTTAGCTCAGGCGTATAAATTTCTACAAGCTTCTGTTTGCAAATATTTTCAGGAAATGGAAAGAAGAACGATCGATCATCACTAGATGATATTCTCGGATCACTTGGGCGTAGATCATTGATTCTCAACGATGAAAGGGGTTGATAGCGAACTGATTTAGGGTCGACTTGGCTTCTCACGCTGTTGTTGACTCCATTTGTTAAATTACTGTTAGAATGAGTCTTAGTTGAAGTAAAAATGGGTTTTATAGGCCCAGGTTGTGTTGTTCTCAGGTTTGCAGTTTGAGAAGCTAGCGAAACTTTAATGGATTCTCCTTTGCTCTGGCTATTCATAGTGTTTGTTCTAACTCGTTCATTAGAATTCGATACAGCGGCCGAATCCATAGGAATTACAACATTATTTTGAGTAGATACACGTGGTAAAGCAACTTGGATACCAACGTTACATTTTCGATTTTCAGGAACGTATTTTTTAGCTAAACCAGCTTCATCGGATAACTTTCTCTATCAATCAAATATGATAGCTCAGTGTATACCATCAATTCCATTCATACTAAATTGTAATTCAAGGTTGATTTATAACACTTACAATGGATTGGTATAGTTGATCGGACTTTTCTTTACAATGAATATCCACAAATTTTAAGAAGAGGTCTCTAAAGGTTATACACTGTTGCTCAATAGCATCAGTTTCATTTTTTAATTCTTCGACCTTTATTTTGTACATTTCTTGAAAATCATGGTGGAGTTTCATTTTTATTTTATTGATATGTTCAGAGACGCAGTTTGAAATTTGCTAAAATAGGAAAATTAAGAAATAGAGTGACGATGTACGTTAATAACTGATGAACTATTAGAATAAACAATTTCATAGAAACGTTAATAATATTATACATTAAGTAGGTAATCCATACCTAATCGAATTGTATTTATATATTTTTAATAATATCTCAACTACGCTATACTGCGAGTACATTACTCTGTCTGATATGAATAGAAAAGTACTGCAAAGATCAATTTATCGACGTAGCTGCACCTAGCTATTCGTTTTCATTTCGAGGCACTCTTATATGTCCTCCGCTCTATCATTTACGCTTATGAAAGGCGCATTCAGTTTAGTAACGTTTTGTTTTAAAGTAGCTATGCTGCAGTTTACAAACATCATTCTTCCTATCGTCTATCTTACATATAGTGTTTGATTTAAACACCCTTAGTTGCAGTAAACATACATATATATAATAATAGGGCGCTCAATTTTTACATCATACTAGTACAGGATGGCCTATTTTACCAAAATAAGTTTAGCATGTGTAGTCGACGTATTCAAGGTGAATGAGCAAATGTCTATCTTCAAGTTTTTACGGAATAGTCTGCATCTAGTATATTGATCAATACAACAAGCAACTAAATGGCCTAAAAACCCTGCATAAAATAGGCACTACACGGGACTTTTACTAATCGTACTTGCTTGCAAAGTTATGTCAAAGTTAACCATTAAGGAGAGATATGAAGTAAAATATCTATTAAACGACTCTTGGATCATCTACTCTTATTGCGCTATATAAAATTGTATCAAAAGATAGATATTGCAGTGAGAATCTACCAAATCACTCTTTACTATCTTCGATAAGTTAATGCTCAATAAATTCATCATCCACATGATTAGTCACTAATTGCATCCTAGCTAACGCGCCGAGTGAACGCAAGTCGCAATTTATACGATTTCACGTAATGCTATTTTAATTTCCAGCAATACTGTGCAGTAGATTAGGAGATTGGTGTCGTAGAGAAGACTCTAAAATCTCTCTATTACTACGCCAATCCTGTATGTGAACAATTAGCAGTAGTTTGTAGGTAAGATTCTAAAAAGCGTTGACTAGTCATCGCCAACTACATCTATTGATAATATATTTATCGATTACTAACGATGAGAAATGATGGATATCGTCTAGAATTGTCAAGCCTTACTTCCTGAGTCATCTGGTTGTTTTCAGGGAGTTTAATGGCGATCGTATTGATGTCTTCATGTTGATGATTTGGGCTCGTGTCTATGGGCTGGGCATGGCTAATTTGTGAAATCTTGATTTTCTCTCCATAAACGCCTTGAAAAGTCAATTGATAGTCCAGATAATGTATTGGGAAAGCAATCATGGCATGGTGATCCACCAGTAGGAAATAAAGAAAGAAAAATTAGCCGATTACTGCAAGACATGCAAACAAACAAAGTGATCATCACGGGTTCAGCAGGACAGACTACAAAATGGAAGTGTTCTTATGGTCAATATAAGAAGCAGAGGTAAAATAGTGAGGCGACTAGAATTCAATGATGGAAACGAATTGAGTGGCTCAATTTTCCTGCATAATATTGTGCGATAGAAATTAAGCTCTTACCCATTACTTTCTTTGCCGGTTGTTCATTTTCTTGCGCATTACTATTGGAATGTTTGCGTTTTTCAGCGATCGCACTTTGCTCATTTACTGCCCCATTCCTATCGGGCCTGTGAATATTGGCGTTTAACTGTTGTGGATCATCCGTTGTACTAGGCTGTCCTGAGTGGTTGATATCGCCATTGGGCGACGGGATAGAAAGATTTGTTGGTTCATTTAAACAGATATCTTGTATCCCTTCGTCTTGCTTTAAAGCACTATGATCAGTATAAGCATCTGTCAAGGCCGTATTAGCCTCATTTGTTAAAATATTGTCCACTATCTCGGCATTGGTTTGCCGTCCCATGGCCGTTAAATTGATAATATCGCTCTCATCGTCGCTAATTTGGACTACTTCCGTTAGTAAATTGTTGCTGTTATAGGATAAAGGTTGCCTATTATCCAGTTCATAATCATCAATCTTTTCTTGCTTGATTTTAATCTCGCCTATCAAATCCATCGTTGCAAATGGCAATCCAGCAGCAAGATCAATTCTTGACTGTCTCGATTCGACTACTCCAGTATCCTAAACGATGGTTGATAGTCAGCCTATTGGCTACATTAGTCAATGTTGTTACTGTAGCCTCGATTGGTGGTATGGTACATTGAAAGTATGCCGGCCGTCCACGGTGCAATGTTGCAATATTACAGTACAAGGAAGAAAATGGCCGAAATGAATCAAGAAACCTAGCGGAAAGTGCTCGAGCCGAGGAAAGAAAGGGCAAAGGCACACCATTCGACGAAGAGGAGAAGTGGCTACTGAAATCGAAACCCGTAGCAAGCATAAATAAATACATCCTGCCAAGGCAAAGCCAACGCCAGTTGAAAACCTGCATGGATGAAACCCTGCAGGGGTGCCGGAGATGACGACGATTGCTATCCCTTACATAGGGAATACTTGTACTCCCAAAAATAATAATAATTATTAATGATAATACTGTCATGATGATTATTGATGTACTGTATATGCCATACAGATGATAAAATACTTTTCATATCTCTATCATCTATACGTATATATGCTATGCGTCTTTGCGTAGTACCACTTAATTCGTTCGTCTGTGATGGCCAGTTTTACGCTTTTCCTGCTACCTGCAGAAAAGTATGGCGGAATTGCAAGAGCTGGATGAAGAATGAACAATACGTCAGCTTTTCATGCCGGTTGGAAAGAAAACCTTTCAGATTGTGGAATATTCATTTGGAGTAAAAGTTTAAAATTTCATTCTGATGGCCATCCTCTAGATCGGGACTACTCAAAGAAAGAAAGAATACTGTCTAGTTTTAATTCATGAATTTGCCTTCCGTATGCCATGACGGAATGGCCATACTAAATTAAGTGCAGCTCGCAGTTTAATCATAAATTACTACTTTCACTTGGTTTGTATCTCTTCAAATAATTGATGGTTATAACTTTACCATCTCACTGATTTGTATGCATTCTACGAGGGATCTACTAAACTCTATCGTATGTCTTAATGACTTCTCCTAAAAAGCAATAGAAGATAGACTCTCCATGCTGCGATTCAGTAGTTGATTGCAATTTTACCATCTCACTGATCCGTATGGAAGCTGCGGGACTCTATCGTAGATATTAGTGACTTATCCTAAATAGCGATAAACGATAGACTCTCTCCATGCTGCAATTCAGTAATTGATGATTATAATTTTACCATCTCACTGATCCATATGCATTCTGCGAGGAAGCTGCGACACTCTATCGTAGATATTAGTGACTTATCCTAAATAGCGATAAACGATAGACTCTCCATGCTGCAATTCAGTAGTTGATGATTATAATTTACCATTTCACCAGTCCAAATACAATCTACGAGGGATTTACTAAACTCTATCGTACGCGTATGCCTTAATGACTTACTTTTATCCTAAAAAGCATTAGACGATAGACTCTCCATCCTATAATGTAGTAGTTGATGATTATAATTTCACCATCTTACTGATCCGTATGCATTCTACGAGGAAGCTGCTGGACTCTATCGTATACCTCAATGATTTATGCTAAAATGCACTAGACGATAGACTCTCCATGCAGCAATTCAGAAGTTGACGATTATCATCTCCCTCATCTGTATACATTCTACGAGGAAGCTGCTGGACTCTCATATATCTCGATGACTTATCCTAAAAAGCATTAGACGATAGATTCTGGATGCTGCAATTCAGTAGTTGATAATTTTACCTTGTCGCTGATCCGTATACATCCTAAAAGGGAGCTGCTGGATTTAATGACCTCGATCCTAAAATGCTATAGACCCTTGATGCTGGAATGCAGTAGAAAGGTTAATGTATTTCCATTGCATTTGATAAAGCATCATGTACTGATAGTGTGCTATCCAATTTTCTTCAGATCACATCAGCCATATTTCTTTCAGTGGATTTATTTCTCTACACACTAATCTTGTTATGGATTCATTATCGTACGAAATGATTTTATCTGCATCATGGCAGGACGTAGTCAATGATGCGAGGAACATGATGGATAGTGTATTTGTCCAAAAAGGGAAAGATCTTTTACCCTCAACTCCACATAGAGTTTATGCAATTGAAAATAACGTTATCTACGAATGGTGTGCTATCCAATTTCTATTGTAGACTATGCTGATCATCATGATCTTCTTTTAGAGATCGATTCTGTCGAGTTATTTTGTTCTTTGGTGGACAGCATAAAATAGCAGTACAGTTTAGCTGATTCAAACATGTCTACTCCTAGAAACATGTACTACCGCAATCCCGATTACTTGTCTTAAAAGCTAATCTGCTTATTCAGGTTTAAAATTCAGTGGAAACTGAATTTTCTATTGCAGCAACATCATACAGAATTGGCAAATTTAATGTTGACGACATAGTTATCCAACAAGTTAATTCTATTAATTACAGCTTAACAGTCTCTCTCAAAGAGTTGATTATTATAATTATTGTAATTATTTCTATTCCCCAATTTGATTTTACTGACATAAAAAGTATCCGTCAGTTTTTGATATCAGTTGTATTTTCAGAACAGAGAATTCCAAAATCCATAATGGTTCTCTTTTAATTTTCGGAATTAGAGAAATTATTCATTTCTTTCCCTAAACCTCTTGCGTAGAGACTATAAAAAGCTGAGATATTATGACAGAAAACGTATCGTAGAAAAGTCATCGTTTATTACCATCGTTAAAATAGATGCATAAGTTTTACATTTGTCATGATAGAAATAACCCGCTCAAAAATGATCCAATTCCTATTTACAATAGCAATAATTACAGCCATCTCTTGAATCCTACCAGTGAAATTATTCGAAAATAAACTAACGTAATAATTGTTTTCGTTGCGCTTCCAATAACATTTCTAGATGATCAGCCCGTTTAATGGCAGACTAATAAAATAAAATAACATTAGTAATAGTAAGTGTATACGCTACTCCTCTTCCAAATTGACTAGTAGCAGCTTATAACAATCGCAATAATAAAGCTTGTAATGGACTTTACATGTGAATAATATTCATACCAAAATTGATTCTTAAAGTAGAATGCTAGACCTTGAACAATCTTGGCCCTTAGATATTATGATAAATGCAATGATACAAAAACAAACCTGATGCTGTGATCGCAGCGAATTCAAGGTTTCTTCTTTTCTTGCCAGGGCTTGTTTTACTCTGATAGGAGAAAAAAATTCAAAGATATTTTAAGACAACCACAACGGCAAGACATTTCTACTTTTAAATTGTCAATGCACGCTTCGTTTCTGTTATGATAGAAATACCGAGTATGAACTGTATCCAATTCTTCATCTTTCTGTTTTGTAATTCGATCCACTTCTAATTTACAACGTGCCCTTAGTTCGTTCATTTCTAATTTTAAAGATTTATTCTCTTCTTCGGTAACCACTAATCTATTAATTATAGTATCAAAATAAATGGGTTCAATGAATGCAATTTACTTGCATCGATTTAAAGGTAAAGTTCTTGTGGATAACAATATGAAACGAATTGACTATTGCTAGTTCCTTCATCCTATCAACGAGATCACCTTAGGCTAAATCTTACCTATCAGCAAATTCTTGCCTGACAATGTCAGTTACATTGTCTCTTTCTTTACTTAACTTGTTCTTTACCTAATCGTCATATGAGTACCGATATAAGAATTTAATCGTGGGTTTAAGTAGAAAAGAAGAATTATTGCAAACTCAAAGTTTCTTAGATAATCTTTCAGTTTTGCAGTGCTATATAGCATTGAAAAAGTTACCTCCTCTATTTCAATGATGTACTGTTCTCGTTGAGCTAATAACCTTTTACATTCGGTTAATTCACCTTCTAAATTGATATTACGATCCTAAAATCAGAAAAGAAAGAATAAAAATACAAGATTATACAATATTAATGAACGTCACAGCATGGCTTAATTTTCATCTCGATAAGAGCTCTGCACGGCGCAACAATAAATCTTTTCTTTCTAAATGTTACCTTAAGCTCATTAAATTTTTCAATTGTATTCCTCTCTGATTTTTCAGCTTCTTTTAACTCAATGGTGTATTTCTCTCGAATTCTCCTACGAAATTGATTGATTATAATTAATAAATAGCCTGAATATAATAACTACGCCTTATAAAGTGTGGGACAATTCAGCCATTTTAATGGCGGATCATCCTATAGTCTTGTAACATTACAATCTTTGTACAAAATTAATCAATTAAATACAATCTCGATAGCTTGAGAATTAGACTGTAGATTTAATTAAATATGGATCTATATTATATCGAAATGAATGATTTAGCCTATTGATAACCGTATTGAGATTGGGAAAGAATCGAAAATATTCAAAATTGGACTCTTGCAATTATCGCTTACGAAATACGAGATTCCGCTTGTCTTTCTGTTTCCTCTCTAGCCTTTTGGGCTTCTTCTTCTAGCCGATTTATAACCATTTCAATTTCCTAATCGAAATATGTAAAAAATTACAATGATAACCGATTTTAGCAGAGAGAATAACAAGTATTATACAGTGCTATGGCAATATACTATCTCCTCGATATACTTTACCTGATCTCTTCCTCTTTTAACAGCTTCTTTCAATTCTCGCTCTTTCGCAGCTAGAATTACTCCCTATGCATATTGGAATCATTAATATCGTTTAATTCAATCACTTTAATATAGTGATATACTCTATATTCTTCAGAAACCTACTAAGCCGATCAAAATATGATGGCAAATGCAGTACAAGCACAGGCTAATAATTTTATACCATTGACTATGTATAAATGATAGACATCTATTCATTTACAATAGTTTCAATATTCGCAATATCGATGTAGCTTATATCATAACCATGAATATCCTCCCTTGTAGCTGAGAATTACAGTATTGTAGAAAATTAACTATAGATATCTATACCCGTGAAAATATGCTTTTCGATAGTAGGGTATGAGCGATTACCTGTTTCTTCATATAATTCTCTTCCCAGGCCTCCTTTTCGATTTTTAACCTCTCATCAATATCTCTAACTTCATTCTAGCCATCATCAAATAAAACATTTTACTATTTATTATACATACAGTACACTTGGTACTAGGCTAAAGAGTTACTGCATAGTTAATATGTTGCCGTTATTTTGTAGTAAATAGAAATTAGCCAATATCGCTCGTATAGTAAATGCCGCTTTACCTGATGTCGTCTCTCTTTCTCTGAGATAGTTGCTTCGTATTGTATCTTTAATTTTTCTAATGCTTTTTCTTGATTTTCCTATCGCAGAAAATTTATAAACAGTCCATAAGCTTAGAGCGAAATTACTTCTTTCCACTAGTGAAATAGCGATACTCGCAGAAATTATTTCTTTATTATCAGTGGTCATAAATTCAAAAAGCTTTCCATGATAATGACTATAAACTCTACTTACTTGTATGTCTCTTAGTTTGTGATCCAATTCTTTTCGTTGTCTTCTAGCTTGTTCGGCCATTCGCTCCTTCTCTTCCTGAATTTCAGTATATAGCCTACGACGTTGTTGTTGGTAAGATTGTTCTTCCATGGCAAGTTGTTTTTCCATTCTAACACATTTTGAAAAATGGATTGTTGATAGCCAAATTAGCTTTATCCTCATATTGTAACTCTGTTTAATATTCACATAAAGATAGTGCTAACTTTATATTAAAAAATGAAATGAATATCGAAAGGACTTTAGCGCTCATATTATATGACATTGAAGGTCTTGACTTTGGAAAGCATGAATTTTTTAAAATATGAAACATGAAAAGATCCTTGTCCAAAGTCACTACACTCTATCACAGGATATAGATATTCCTGTCTACAAAATTACTTGACAAACTTCATTTTAATACTCTAAAATAGCTTGTTTAATAGCTATGAATAAGTCATAAAATTTTATAATGCAAGTTAACAACGATTGTATTTAGGGATAATCGCCCTAAGGAACTTTTAAAGAAGATAATTGATATAGGTTTTGATCTGATATTGCAAAGTATAATCACTTTCTAAATGATATAAGTTAAATTTATGCATGCTATGAACTGAATGGGTTTATGCTCTTTTTCCCCGCATAAAATAGGTAAGCAAGGCTAATTACAACCCGTAGATTATTATAACACTTCATGCATACTATATCATATAAAATTGGCTTTAAAATGTTGAAGTCAGCAAGGAAAATAGATTCAAAAATTGAACTAAATATTGCCATAATTTGCTCGATCTGTATTTCTCTTGCGAAATATTACAGCTAATTATGTAAATGTGGATTCATTTTAAGAATAAAATGATCGATAGATGGCATACTATGTATCACAAATTTTAAAACGGCAGCCTAACATACGTAAAAATGTTTACTTTAGTAGTTCCAAAATAATTAAATCTATCGATCACATTTAAATATAGTCAGACCTTTCTTTTGCAGTTTGTCTTTCCCTCTCACAAGCAGCGTCCTTTTCTTGATCTAACTGTTCTCGTAAATTTTCAATTTGTTTTACAAAACGAACGCTAGCTCTTTCATCTGCTTGCAAAACTTCTGCTTGATTCATCGACTGAAGACGTTTAATTTCCGCTTTATGCTTAGCAATTAATCGTTGAATTTCTGGCTCCATACTTTTAACCGTCATTTCCTGTCATACGAACATAGCGTAAGAATATGATCTTAGCGCTCTTACATAAAGATATGAAATTTATCTTATGATTACTAATTTCTCCCACCTTTATTTCTCTACTTTTTTGCTCAATCCATTTTTCTCGTCGCATTTTCTCAGCTGCAGATGTTACTTCTTTTAGCTTGTTAATTTCGCTAGCGTGCCTAATAAAACATTTTATTTAGTGTCGATAAGAAAAATGTTAGGATCAGCCTTAGAATGAAAATTAAATCTCTTTAACCATTTTCGAGTAAAAACTGCAAAAATACAGGACTTTACCTCTCTTCCATCGCTTTCACTTTGTGATAATACTTTTTGTCTATCTCCTTCAATTTTTGAATTATTTCTTCATTTTTTTGACTAAGCGTATTTTTATCATCTATCAACTAGTAATGAAATTGAAATATGAATAGTGTGTCCTAAGGAGAAATATACTTTGTAAAATAAAACTTCCATCTCTAAAACCTACCTGATCAATGAAAGTAACATGCCGCTGTATTGTTGTTTCATATTCTTGACGCTGGATTGCAAGCCTTCTTTTTAAATCTTTTTCTTGTTCTCTAGTGTGCTTGATGGATAATTCTTGTTGTTCTTTCTGTGATAGGAATATTACAATTTAGTACTTTAAATCGTCTACGGTATTAGCTTAAATTAACTTGGCGTACAATTGCTTGATTTAACACTTCGACCGCTCGCGACTTTTCATCTAATTGTAATTTTTGTCTTAAAATTGCGGCATTTACATCAGAGGCCATTGCTGATGCTGATTCTATATATTGATCATCATCTCTAGAAAAAGAAAGTTACAACAATTACCAAAATAGCTATTGCTTGAGTTCTAGCTATATCATGCCATAATCGAACGGATAAAATGACGGAGAAAATACATTGCATTTCTTGTTAGACTGTACCAAATTTAGATACTTAGCAGAATGTAATTTATCCATATTTCTTGATACTATAGTAGCGATTAAAATACTAGGTTTCTATTGCAGAAATTTCAAGTGTTACCGATTTGATTCTCGAGCACTTGGTAGCTGTAAATCTTGAGCCGTAGTTTCGATCGGATCCTATACGTTAGGTGAAGATGATAATAAAAGTTTACCCCAACTTTTAGCATTGAAGGAATGTCACTAGAAAATATTTTCTGTCAGCTTAAATTTAAAAATTGCTTTATACAAGCTAAAAGAAAGATGATTTCTCAGCATTTGAACATTTTACTATTTGAGTGGCCAGAGACTTACTAGGCTTTTATTACTAGTCGTTGCAACATCAACCTTCTCTATATCGTCTAAATAAGTAAGTATACTCCTGCCATATAAGAAATTATTTCAAATGTTGTTGTTAATTAGGATTCTCTTAAGTTACCAATGAAAGCAAATTTTAACTTATAGTTAAAAGTACGAGGATATTTAATTTTTACTAATAGCTCTTGATTAGCATTAGAATCATGATGTATTACTGTAGCTTTGCGTCCGAAAGAGTTCCAGTTGCTCTGTTGCTGTAATCGTTGTAAAATAGATTGGTATGATTAGTGTATTGAATGAAGGAATGAAATAGATTAATTTGTAAATAATACGATAGTAAAGGCAAGATAATCTTAATATTTGAGCTTAGTTATCATAGGTGTAATTTATTAGACTTACTTATTCGAATTAAGCTTATAGAGTTGTTCTGCTGACAAGTAAACCTAGTAACAATCGGAAAATTGATATTTCGAGATGATAATTTTAGACCAAGTGCATTTATATATGCCAGATAGAAAAAATTTTTGAACGTAACTGATTAGCACTCGTATACTACGTCTAACGCTACGGTATATTATACCTGTATATACATTTTCAAAAAATCGATTTTTACCTTCAAATATCTAGCGTATTAAATTTGGCTAATAATTATGTAAATTGTAAAGCTATCGTATCTGATATTACATGAAAGTAACTCATCTTTTATTTAATAGAATCCGCATATAATCTAAACCTAATGGGTAGGACATGCCAATATGTACACATACTTTCAAATAATTTTTAAAAGCGCTGGTAACTGTACACGAGAGACATTTTAGGCTTTTACTGTTTGCTTTAATTTCACTAAATTCCTTAACATTGACTTTAGTAATTTATTCGATAAAAAGCCTCTCTATATTATAGAGCGCTACTTTTAGATTGATTTTAATGTAATCAATTTTAATATGCATGCAATAATGAAATTTTAGAGGAATTATGCTGAAGTAATACATTTTACCAGCTCTTAAGAGCTATTTTGCGATATTTTTACTAATTCTATAACTATACAGTTCGATACTTGCCTTATCTTCGTAATTTCCTACACCGGCATCATCTTCTAAGTGATCACGATCTAAGCACAATTCATTGCAGTTAAAATGATTAATACATAACATTTACTATTGTACTTTATTCAGGTAATAGAAATGTCCTGAATTTTCAAAAGGCTAGTAACTTTTAACTTGCTGTCTTACCCCAGTTTGATAGGTTAGATCGCGTAGTAGTATCTTCTTTTGGATGTTTTAGCTCTTCAGGAGCCTCCTCGAGCAGCTTTAGTGTTTCCATAAGATCATCAAGTGCTGTTTTCTTAGCGCTAGCGCTTGTTGAATTCTCTCTAAATTGTGGAAAAATTACGGTAATGAGTAAATAAATAAATCTAGATAAAACACATATGCCTAGTCAAAGTTGCTTAGTTATACTGATTAAGACAACAATATCTATTAGTTATAAATCATCATATAAAGATAGACGAATGAAACATTCGAAAAGTCGATACGCGAGGTAGAATCGCTGCTTTATCAGTGATAATCTATTTTATCAAGTAGTGAGCAATTATGTAACGCGTGAGTTTTATTTTACAGTAAATTACTCAAACTTAATATTTCATGTCTTAGAAATGACCCAAAAGATTCTATATCAAATATTAATAGATTCTGGTGCATTCTTACGTTGGCTCTCTTGCAGTAGAAACTGTTGAAGAGACGCCTTGATCGAAAGTTGTAGAAGATATTCCCTCCTAAAAGTATTTATAATATTTGTTAGCGTCGTTCTTTCTTTTGAAATATGTTAAATATCAATTAAACTTGTAATCAATCTTTTGGTAACAATCAGGATTATTATAATTATCAGATTCTATTATCGATTTGTTTTATTACTTGAAATATTTCGTCTACTTTTCTTGAAGTACTTGCTGAAGTTCCAGGTCTGTTTACTTCATTTCCAGATTCTATAATGTCACTACTTTTATTCTGTGACCTTCTTGGGCTACTCGATTTAGGAAGGTGGTGGTTTGGTGTCGTTTTTGATTTTAGTTTGGAGACTTTCCCGCTTGCTTCTAGAAATCGCTGTCATATAAATATGAACGTTAATATATGTATATACGGTAATTTAAGCGATGCCACTGCTTATTATTGACCACTGAGATAGATTATAAGTGCTAGAGATAGAATTAGATAGTTATTCGTTGCAGTTTTATACCAATTCTTCTTCAGCTTTTCGTTGATTTTCTAATCGTTTTTCTTCTCTCTTTCTGCGTAAATCTTCAATAGCTGACTGTCTAGCTTTACGTTCCTTGTCTTCTCGCTTTTTCTTTCGTTCGATTTCATTAGCTTGAATGATATCGCTCTAAAAGTAAAGGTGTAACGAATAATGTGGTAAGCATTTATTTGGTATCCTTATCTTTAAAGGTAAATGATTGTAGCTTATAAGTGAGTCTATCGCTTTTTTATTATGTAGATTAAGTTAACATTTACAGTGGGCAAAGCAGTTGTTGGGTCTGCTCTCATTCGCTCCATCGCTGTCTTTTTCTCCATCAGTAAGCGTTGAACCGCGGCTTTACTCGTTTTATTACGTGCTGCATGTCTTCGGTACCAACGTTGAATTTTAATCGCTGAATTTTCCATGACATTTTGTAATGGTCCATGGGATATGTGTGGAATATTTTGAACATTACTCTTTGAAAGTTTAAATGTCGATTCTAAGCTATCTGAAGTATGACTATTCTTGGAAGGTGCATTGGAAACTTTTGCAGTTGATTTACTTTTGTTGGTAGATGATGTAGTTTTTCTCGTCTATTAATCAGATTACCGTACAGGTAAATATATTAATGGTGAATAATTGATCAGAATTAAAAAATGGCTGGAATTAAAGCGTTTTTATTAAAGTAATATCAGTAATTTTACATTAATAAAGCTCTGTCTAGATCCAGCTAGTTTATTATTTTCAGTCGATACATGTGATAATCTATAGTCTTGTTCAAATACTTTTCTCTATAGGTGCTATCTGATATCAGCTATATTTTGAATAAGTAGAAAATCCTTAAGAGATAGTCTTTTTGTAATCATCTACTTATATACAAAGATTATCAGTGTATAAACGAAATAGAAAAATTAAATATGCTTATCATTTAATTTGTACTGTACGATAGGAATCTCGGTCTGCCTAATGAACTTCATTTTAGCTTTACTGTAATGGTAGAATTTCTATAAGGATAGATCTGTGCATCGAGTTACTGTTTGACAAAATTGCTACAAGAGTTAAAGGTAAAAAGCAAAGTAAAGGAATATCGTTACTAGTTTTATGCTTATGATTTTATCGGCTTACTACTTATGTACCGCATAAATATAGACAAACGTTATTCGTAGAATTGGTATAAATAGTATGATAGTGTATGGGCTCACCTTCCCTCTAGCCCCTTTTACTGGTTGTGAGTTAAAAAAGCTACTGAGCGAGCTTCGGCTAGATGTACTCCTTGCAGAATTAGGTGCGGAATAATTCGATCTACCAGAAGTAATGGATGTTCCATCGATGCCAAATTTGCTACTTGATACTCTCTTATTGGATGACATGTCGAGTGACCAACTATAGTCTATCGATATTTAACGGACACAAGTCGATGGTATTGCTCCTAATAGAATTAATCACCTACATATATTGAAGATTAGCCGTTATTTGTTTAAAGTTGCGTGATTAATTACAATTATGGAAGAATATATCACTACAGTACTGTAAATTTAAGAATTTATAATCAGTAGAATAAGACCGTTATGTAATTTTTGTGATATATCGTGTCATAAGAATTAGCAATAAGATTGAAGAATCACGGTAAAAAAAAAGCGGTATCTTTAAAGGAAGTGTCTTGCATCATTAAGCTACAAAAATTCGATATGCGATAACTCAATGATTGAATTAAAGATATTACGAGCATGCTATATTTTAAATATAAATCGATCACTGCAGATATCGAACTTTTGACGTCCAATTTTACCTGTTTACTATAACGATGCATTCAGGTCAAAGCGTATTATACTATCTCTATAGCATATCAAGATGGTTATTACTACGGATAAAAATATAGTCAATCCTAGGCCATGGAAGTGACTTATTGATGTTCCTGTAGTTTATATATGGCGATATATATAAATAATCCAATTGGATATCGATTACAGTATGCGGTTGTGCCCGGCTTGAATTGTTGACTGTACTCGTATGTTGAATTACTTTAATACTATTTAATTCTTTAAGATGACAATTACACGAGAGTAGGTGATGTACTGTATCTTCAATCGCTTCTCCTAGGCTAGTACTGACTACGGTATAATGGTTCAAGCAATATACTATGATTGTTATTATTATTGTTATTATGTATGAACATTGGTAAGTTTTCTTGTAGATTGCTTATGTCATTATGTATTACTTTATGAGCGCGACAGGATGCTGCACTTGCAACAGTCAACGTTGTGGTCGCATACTGTCCGTATGCAAGGGTAGCAACGTAAACTGGATAGCAACGATCGTACTGGATAAGATATAAAAATGATAGGTTTTAAAATAGGTGTTGCATTGGCACCAACATGAAAATAATCAACCTTATTTGGCTTGCAATCGAGCTGCAACGTGATAGAATATCCTCCTATCCACGGCTCGAATAATGATCATCAAAATACGTTACAAGGCGAGGGAATTTTTCGTTTCCAAGGTTACTCATTGCGCAAGCGTGACGTTTTCAAATTTTCTCGATGGTACTGGGCATACTGTAGGTGCGAAGGCAATGGATAAAATCCTATACAGTTCAAGTGGAAGTTGCAGTTAGCGTTGTCATCTTGCCCACTAGAGTAATGCTGCTGTAGTTTAACCTTTATTAGTCGCGCAGCCGCTGTCGCAGTTGCTCTTAGACTTCTTGTTGCCGTATGGAAACAATTCAGTTTATACTAGAAGCATTTAAAATGGCGAACAAGATGGACGTTATCCTGCAGTTCTAGCACTATAAATTAGTCTTTTACAAGGTTTTAAAGCTAAAAAATCGCTTCGTTTTTGAAAAAATTTCTTCTTAAAATAGTACTCAGCATTAGAAGGGTTAAAATGTCACTATTTCTCATCTTGCTTGCAAGCAGGAATTCACTCTCTACGTCCATATAGTAGTTGTAGTTGGCGTTGTAAATCTATGATTCTGTACGTCTACTGTCTGTCTATCGTGGCATTTGTTTACTAGCAAGGCAGAGGTCCATCTACGGGGACAGCTAAGTACTGTACAGCTGCAGTTTAGCGTTCTCATCGATGTTGCATGTCAGCAATATGATACAGTCAGTACTGACTGTAAGTGGAAAATCCTCCCGTGCAAGTTGTTAACAAGCCAGGGGTCCATGGTCCAGTCAGGAAGAAGTATACATACAGTGTACTTTACTAAATTGGTACTGTTTGAGAGTGCTAAAGCAGGCTCTCGAGTGCCATCCTAAACAGCCATATACACTGTACGGACACTTCTATATGTACATTCTACACTCTTAGTGTAGACTGTACAGTCGATGGCCCTTCGACCTGATGGATAAGATGTTGAACAAGACGAGTCATTTGGGGGGATAAGCTTGGATCGAGTACTGATTTTACTACAAAGCTAAGGTCTATTTAGCATGGAATAGAGTAGCATCAGCAGTAAAGGGATACTTGCTAATTTGCGGTTGCTATACTCTAAGGCAATAAAAGGAAAGCCAAAGAGACGTGAGCACGTGGATGGAAAGAGGAAAGGGATTTTTTTCACCTTTGGATGAAAAAAAGCTGCAGACTAGTTCAACATGGGAGTTTTGGACAGCAGTTCCACATCGCGTTTAAACGTCTGCTGGCGCTGGTACAATACCTCACTCTCACACTCTCATTACGGGCATCCAGTCTATTTGCTAGTACAGTCCTGTACAGTGCAGAGTCTACAGTCACAATGTACAGTACTACAGTACAGTATTGTAGACTGCTAGAACTGTTCTGCGCTTCTCAAGTACAGGAGGGTGTTTTCACTGCCGTACTTGGATAGCTAGCTAGTAGTTTTCTTCGATCAAGTCGCCCTAATTATTGCTGCTATTCATTCATGAATGCATGAATTGAATATGCAAGAGTTCTGCTACTCGCATTTTGAGCATCCGTCCATTTGCTTGTATTACAGTACAGTATACTGCGCAGTATAGTGCTACAGTAAAGATGCTAGTGCAGAGTCTACACTCACAATGGACAGTACTGCAGACTGCTAGAACTGTGCTGCGCTTCTCAAGTACAGGAGGGTGTTTTCACTGCTATACTTGGATAGCTTGTAGTTTTCTTGGCTTCCTGAATCAAGTCGTCCTAATTATTGCTATTTATTCATGAATGCATGAATTGAATATGCAAGAGTTCTGCAACTCGTATTTTGAGCATCCGTCCATTTACTTGTATTACAGTATAGATGCTAATGCAGAGTCCACACTTACAATGTACAGTACAGTACTGCAGAACTGCTACAACTGTGCTGCGCTTCTCAAGCAGGGTGTTTTCACTGCTATACTTGGAGAGCTTGTAGTTTTCTTGGCTTGTTGAACCAAGTCGCCCTAACTATTGCTATCCATCCATGAATGCATGAAATGAATATGCAAATGTTGTACTACTCGCATTTTGAGCATCAGTCCATTTGCGTGTACTAGAGCATAGTATTACAGTATAGATGCTAGTGCAGAGTCTACACTCACAATGGACAGTACTGCAGAACTGTGCTGCGCTTCTCAACTACAGGAAGGTGTTTTCACTGCTATACTTGGATAGCTTGTAGATTTCTTGGCTTGTTGAACCAAGTCGCCCTAACTATTGCTATCCATCCATGAATGCATGAATTGAATATGCAAATGTTGTGCCACTCTGCGCAGTACCATGGACTACTACTGTAAACATACTGTAGATCAGAAACCAACGCCTGGTCGAAAAGAGAATCTTTCTCTTTTCCCATTACTGCAGTCCTTGACCGCCCAGCTAGGCTTTTATCACAGTGACGGTACGGTTCGGTTCGGTACGGTCCGTTTCGGTTTACAATGGATTACAATACAATGACCGTGCAAGGCACTGCGCAGTCTCGTCTTCCCCGTGTCCAGTGGTAGCGTTACTGGTAGTATACTGTATAGAACAAGAGTCAAAGTGCAGTTGAATCGAGTGTCAGTTTGGCCAACGGCATCGACTGGCTTCAACACATCAACCACCACCCTTGGCAATGTCGATGGTGGCAGACTCGACAGTCCAACTCGAGCGTGCAGTATAAAGTAGTCTATCTTTAGTACTGAACGGCGCAGACTACTCTGAGTGTGCGCCCTAGCCTACAGTATATTGTACTGTAGGCGCCGACACCTTCTTGTACTGTAGACTTTCCACTGTACTCGACGCCATCTTGACTGCAGCGATCACGTCGTCGCCCACCAGCCCCATACAGTACTAGTCTAAGCGGATCGGACTATCAAGCCACAGTACGGTTAGCGGCGTCTAGTAGTATGGTCAACAAAGTTGGCAACTGCAGGTTCGACAAGTTAAAGGAGAGGTTAGTTGGATGCGATGGCAGATAAAAGAAGGTTACAAGGTAAGCGGAGACTGTTTATCATGATGCAAGGTGTATTTTAATGGAGAGAGTGTAGACGATTTCATCTACAATGGACAAAAGTGAAGGGGATACTGGCTTGCCAGGGGTCAGGGGTCTAGTTGAACAGCAAGAGTCGACTGAAGAGATGATCAAGAGGTTGATAACTTGATGCCACTCTTCTCCTCCTTGTTCACTTTATCATGGCATCATTTGCCACACAGGAGTAGCTTAGCTATACAGTCTATCAACATGGTTTGCATCTTGTATCATGATAGATTATAGGGCAACAAGAGTAGGACTATCGACGAGTGGATGAGGGGATAAAGAGCTGTTAAAGAAAGGAGTCCATCGTCAGCTTGCGCTTGGCCGTAGAATAATACTGTAGTAAGAGAGAAACAGTGGCCTTTTGCAACGCTACAATAGCAACATGGAAAGCAAGTGGATGATCGTAAGCCATAGTATAACAACATGGTAGTAGTTTTCCTACTTCAACGCTACAACAAAATCCATTCTAGGCGAGATAACTTGACACCAAGTAAAAGGATCCCCATTCTATCTTGTCCACGGTATTCCAATAGTACTACTACTAGCAGTCAGTCATACGCAAGGACTACGACGGGGCCCAGTGATCAGCTTAGTGGCTTCTTTGTTGCCAATGGTGCTCATCGACGATTGAAGAATACGATCAAAGCAGTTCAGAAGAAGAAGCAGATAGGCAAGAGCTCTTCTACAATCCTAGTTGGTCCATCATACCTTTGTCAAGGTTATCATTTTGATTTCAATTGTTATAACTTGAGTTGTAATCGACATCAAACGCGGCGGTAGGAAAGAACTCGTTCAATACACTCTAACTAAAGCGGGTTTATCCTTTCATCAAGCATCGATGACCACTTGATCGATCGATCCAGTTGTACTACTGGACTAGTCTACAATAAATCCACTCTAAATAGACAATCTTACTATGAAAATGGATATTTCTACAGCTGT